GAATTTATAATATGATAAATCTTCGTATTTTAAGAAAAGCTTAATTAAGGTTTTTAAGGTTTTCTGACCATGCTTAATGATCGCTACTATCATACTCCATGTATTAATACAATTAATAAGAATAAGAGATAGAAACAAGGCAGGCAAAATATCTTTCAATGATCCCGGTGCTGATACATAGGTAGTAATTATCCAATAATTTTTAGTTAATCCAATAATAAAGAATATGTTGTGAATTACCAAGAGCATATTAATAAAATATCCATAATATCTAATGTACTTGTTAAAAAATATATGACCTTTTGAATTGACTTGTATACCACCAAATGTTATACCAAATACCCTGAGCAAACAAATGATTAATTGAATGATAAATAAAAAATTTACTTTTGCCATTTGACCCGAGTAAATTATATAATTTTTATTTTTATAATTTTATTATTGTAATATACTGCACAATAGAAACAAAAATATTAATACATTTTATTAAACATTTATTTTTATATGTTTATCAAGAGTACAAAACAATTTAACAAAGTAAATTTATTAATTATTGTAAAATTAAGTGATAATAAAGTTGGTCTATTAGAGCTAGTAACAAATATAATGTCATATGAAATTTTCAATTATGAAAATTAAACCGTGATCTTAATATTATTGTTTTTATTTATTTATAGTATGTACATTTAATATTTTATATATTAATGATGATGTAATAAAATAAAGTTTTTATATTAATGGTCTACATACATATACAATACAATTATGTCTTAATTGTAAAAACCTTTTAATAATTAGATATTTGTGTTATAATGAACCATTTAATAAAAACTAATTATTGTACTTTAATATAGCTAATCCAGTTACCATATTATTTAATATATACAGTAAGCAATCATTTTGTTGTCTGAAATAATATTACCGTATAAGACAACACAAATGCAAACACCTGTTGGAATATGAAATAAGTAAGGTAAAAATAATAAATATAGTTATGGTATATATAAAAATTATTCACCGAAATAAGTGTAGATTTGTTGAGCTTAGCGAACCCTCCTATAGTGAATCCAAACGCACCGGTATCTTGCAGTAGATTCTTAAACACAAGCCATTCCCGAAACTCCATGTCCGACATTTGCCCGGTACTTATACCATTGTAGATAGCTTTGATATCCTGAACCTTATGTTCAACTGATCCACATACCAAACACATGATTATAAATCTTGCAACAGAAGTAATGGTGATCAATATTATAGGCTTTTTGGTTGCAAATATGACCATGGACGTATATGCAATAGAATATACACCATATAATACAATTAATATGACGTTAAGCACCATTATACTTAGCACGTATTTTAGAAAATAATTTATTTTTTGTATTGTATCCCGGATATTTAATACAATTGTTTTATATTGGTAAATTCTTTGATGAATACTCTCTGTTTTGCATAAAATTATATGTAAATAAATAGATAAAAATCTTAACAAGAATTAGTGATAAAATACCATTAAGCTTGGTGAATGACAAACCAACATCATCAAGTAGCATATTTGAATATATGCATGTGCATACTATAATCCAAGAGATCACCCAGTATAATATAAATGATAATAATAAGTTGATTGAAACCATCGTACGACTAATAGACTCCATGTTAAGCAAAATTACTCTGCACTTAATAACCACGGTCATTATAAATTCAACAAAATGTACTATACTTATAAAGCAAATATGACAATTAATTCGCCAATTAATACGCTTGCCTAAATTGTTAACAAATATCCTGATGATTGTATATCCATATTTGTTTATTGCATATATAATGATCCATCTTTGAATACAATTCACCAAGTATAAAACATTTTGTAAGCTGTCTATGATTAGTACAGTTAACTCTGATTTAAAGTTATATTTAGCCACAAAGGTTTTATTACTAAATGTATAATATAAATTACGCAAATCTAATGCAACAATTATTAAGCCTATTGAATATCCATAATATCTTATAAATTTATTACGTGATGTTTGCCCTGACGAATTAATAATAAGCCCACCAAATGTAACCCCAAACAAACGGTGCATCCATAATAATAGGCTTACGATAAATAGGTAGGTAGTTTTTGAAAGTTTCATAATTGAACTGGTTGATATTAAATTTACTAAGTGGAGAACATCGTGACTTGTTAGTAAATTGTGTAAGTATATTCAGTATATTCAGTATTAACGGGAAATATATGACCATATCGACAAATTGAATTGATCAAATTGGGCGAATATCATAAGGTAGTCCCGTAAATGCAGTTTTATACACATTGACATACTGATTTTTCACATGAAATAACATAACTGGACCGAAATACACGAATCTATTCTGTATGTGAATTTATTGGCAAAATATTTTCCGTGAACCTGACGACACTTTATTTCTAAACTGACGGTTCTTTGTCGTCAAAGTGTTTATAAATTTCTGTCCATTAATGTTATTTCATGTTCAAAATCAGCATGTCAATATGTATATAACTGGATTTACGTGACTAGTTTATGATACTCGCCTAATTTGATCAATTCAATTTGTCACTTATCATACTATAATTTGCGATAATAGCGATTATACCTGCACAATTTACTGACAAATCACGATGTTTCCAACTAAGAGATGTATTCTTTAAAATCTCATAACATTTTATTGAAAATAGTTTAAATAGGTTTACGAACTTACTATAAGATAATTACGGTAATGTCATTTCATAATCATTAGATTAGCATACATGGGCTCCAGAGTACATATAACAATAAAAACTTATAACATTAGTAACTGCCTTGGATCGAAAATTATGTTAATGTATTTAGTAATGTGTATTATAATATATTTAATATAATAATAAACTTAATATTTTGATTTATATTAAATGATATTGTACTTAGATTATTATTTCAATGTATATTATTAACGAATTTTGTGTTTATTGAACGTAAACGACTAGCAATATAATATAATCTGAAATTAATGATCATTTAAAAAGTATTAAATTATGCAAATCATATGAACAACTTTTTAAATATTAAAATTATAAAGATTAATATTATTTCTTTTGATAATACAATAAGTTTATTTTGATAATTAACCAACTACAGATAACATGTTTAATCATAACAAATTTTAATGCCCAACTGGCTAATTTTACTATCATATGATTGATCAAACATTTTGCTTTGATCCCTGGTGAAATGATTTTTCCAATCACCAACAGCACCTTTGCGCATAAACTTGGTCTCGGTCATATCAAACAATTTGGATGGTAAATCCTCCATGTTTACCATTTTATTACCTTGCATATTTCCAAACGAGCAATGTTTAGCAATCAACTCGATATCATCAGCAGTAGATGATTTTCCGACAAAACCAGCAATGAGTTTGATCATTTTGGGTAAATCTTCGATAAGTTCTTCATAAGTTATAAAAAGGACATTTGTTTGATTTTGTTCATATAATCTCCAATAACCGGTCACGTGGGACAACCAATCGCCAAATACCAAGTGACCAGACACAAATAGCTTACAAAATTCATCAAATGTCCCAGTATAGTTGCCTAATGACGAGGTCATTTTATGGAAATAATAGTAGGACACAGCAGTATCCTTAGGATTTCGAGCCACATAAATTAGCTTGACACATAAAGATTAACATTACTTAATAAGCAATTACATTTACAATAATCACTTACTTTGCATTTAAATTGCTTTAACTGATCGGGAACATGTGTAACCGGCAAATGTGTGGCAAATAAGCTGTAATTATTAGTAGAAACAGACCTGGATACTCCATTTTCGAATTGTTGCACACGTCTGGTCAATGGAGTATTTGTAACATACTCAATATTATCAACATTATAAATAAGTGACAATATTTCTTTAACCCAGGTGGTGCCCGACTTGCAGTAAGTAGCCAGCCATACGTCATTTTCGGTAACTTCAAAGTCCACGGCATTTTCTATAAAATCTAGCGGGGTACTTCCCGGTAATAGTAGATTCTCAACCAAAATTGCTTTGGGAAGTGATCTAACGTATTTGGCTCGTAATGGATCTTGATCCAAATTTGGATCATCAATTGCTTGAGTGACTGTAAGTGGCCTTAAATATAATAAATTAAAAGTTATTTTGTAAACTATATATTTTCTCAAAATACATTAATTCACAATAGTTACATGTTAATCTATTTCCATGCAAACTTCCAGTGCCAACAATAGATTTAATGTAGAGCTTATGTAAAATAGATTTTAGAATTATATTATAATTTTAATATTGAAATTTAATAAATCTTTGTATGCAAACTTATACCAGTATTTGATAATAAAAATTGTATAGCAACAGGCATGCCAATAGATGATTGGTTAAACCACTATTTTGTAGTTTTGAAAATTTTTGTTTTATTTTGTTTAATGAATGAATCAACAAAAACGGATCATTTAAATCCTGTTGACGACAATAAGTGTATATGTTTATATAAAAACAAATGCTACATAAATATTTATGCATTTAATAATCTGTATATAAAATCTCAACAAGGAGCATAAGTATCAAGGAAAAGGATCTACCATAATTAATCTATAATTACTATATAAACAAATAAATTTTAATAATCTAATCAATATCTAACAAAACAAAAAACTATTTGTATTATACAGTACCAGTATACTTAAACAGGATGTTTGATAAACATTTTAAATGATTTGCTTTATTTGATCCTAGTTTCATTTATATGTAAAATTATTTACATTAAATTAATGTTTTTACAGTAAATGTAAAATATTATTTTTTACAGTTATTCTTACCTAAAAGAAATTATATTTATATAATAAGATATTTTAAGAACAATTATTTTCTAAAATAAACATGTCTAGACTGTCCAAGGTTCAAAATGATTTGTAGAAATATAGTTCCTATATAAATAGGAAATTATTTTATTTTTAAAAAGTTAATTTTAAACTCAACAAACTAAATTAATCACAATAATATTTTATAAATTTACATAACATATATAGTAAAATATGATTGGGGTATTAATTATTATACTTGTTATATTTATTGCAATAATATCGATTACTAATGTTAAGTAAGTAAATATCAACATTATAACTGGCATAATACATTTATAATTTATTTTTATTAATTTACATATTAAATATTCTTAAACATATTTTTAGGAATTCTCGATATCAATTTGATTACTGGCGTAAACTTGGTATAAATGGCCCTGCTACAAAACTCGTTTATGGCAACACACTTGACCTATTTATTAAACCACAACCCATTCAGGAACTTATTTGGTACCAAAAATTTGGTAAAATCTATGGGTATATAATCACATTAAACAATAATACTGCTAAAATTTAACAGAAAATAAAATATTTCCTACAAACTTACTAGATACTTTTTTGGCACAACACCTGTGCTAACAGTAGCCGACCCTGAGCTGGTTCAGGCAATCCTTGTCAGAGACTTTCATGTGTTCACCGATAGGTCGCGCGCATCGAAATCGGGTGACGACTCAATAGCCAAACACAGTTTGGTTCACATGTCGGGCGACGCATGGCGTGGCGTACGTGCTATCGTGTCGCCAACATTTTCACCAAACAAATTACGACAAATGTACCCGATCATTAGCCAGTGCGTGTCCGAGTTTATTACGCACTTGGATCAAAGCTGTCATGGTAAGCTCACCGACATTGATGTAAATGATAAATTTTGGCGATACACCATGGACACCATATTAAGGTGTGAGTTTGGCGTAAGGTGTAACGCGTATAACGACATTATTAACGGTAAAACAAATCCATTCGTGT